CAACAAGTGTAGTTAATTTAACGTTTGGTACTGAGGGGCCACAGATACCCTGAAATATTAAAACAAGTAGTGATGAAACTTAAGATGTCACATTTCAAAACTAATAAAAGTCGTTTCTCAACAGAAAGTTTCAAAAATTATGTATTAAAATTTCCATAAAATGTCGGTATCTTAATCTCAAAACCTGTCAGCTGTTACAATCAACCGTTAGATAAAAAAATTAAGTACCCTACAGGCAACATTGACCTTTGGGTAAAAAATATGTTATGTCGCATAAAAGCATATCTAAATTCGTGTTTGCAACATATGTTGCATTGACTGCTTCACCTACTTGCCACCACGGCGTTTTGTTGCAATTGCAACATCATTGCCACTCAGCGGCCACAACTTGACCGCACACGTTGCTTAAGTTGACTTTTATTATCTGTACTTTTGTCAAAAATAAAGTTAGCTGCCGCAACGAAATAGACCGTTAGCCAGACATACGTACAGTTGTATATAAAGCGGTACTATGTATGTGCTATGTAATATGCATAATAATGTAATGTACAAATTCCTTTGTAGTGTTGGCCAACTTGTGCTGCCATATCTGCATACACGTGCCTCGGCTAACCAACTCAAAGTCCGCAGCGCGCTTTTATTGGCTTTGCCAGTGCACAGAGCGTTCCTAACTTAGCGGTCAGCTGTGGCGATTTCGGCACACGTCATTTTCGTAAACTCGACACGTCCACGGGAAATATGCGTTTTGCGCTAAATGTTTCCTCTCAGCGCTTAAAATTAGTAAATGAGATTTTTTTGGCGAACTTTATAATGAGTGGTATTTCAATAAAGATTACAAAGTATACACAAGTGCGCCCAATACAAATGGGTATTTAATGGATGTTTGTCCCGAATGTGAATTACTCTTGGAAATGTAAAAAAGTGAAAAGTGAAAGTTCAGCTTTTTAATAATTTTTCTGTATTGAAGATTCGGTTTATTAAAATAAACGCTAGAAGGTTGATACCTGTTTTTAAGTTTTTCCATAAGAAAATACCACAAACTAAAACTCATTAAAAAGCTTACAGCATGTATTTTTTTTATATATTTTTTGCAAGAGGAACACTTCTATAGATTATTGAAGAATTTGTGAAATTATAATAGAAGAATTAAGCTAAATAGGGCTGTGGATAATGTAAAATGGAAATAATTGTAGAAGGGCTGCCACCTTTTTGACATATAAACCAAATTTGTTTAGATAAATGAACTAATATGACTATGAAAGTAATGCGGATTAAAAAGGCTGGCTGTTGAAAAAAATGTTGAGAACGGTTGCCACCTGTTTAAATTAGTTGGTCAATCGAATTGCTATGAAAAGAAATATAATACAATATTACAATAGAAGCATCAAAATAAACAGAACTAAGCAACATTTTTACCAGAAACATTTTTGAGAAGTGCCGCCACCTGTTTTTAAATTTTAATTCAATCGAATTCGTAAAATAAATTCAATATTATTTTAATGGTATCAAATAGAAGAAGAGAAATTAAAATGTACCATTCCTAAAGCATAAATCTGACTTGTTATTTCAATATACATTTGTTACCAGTTATACCAAATACTAATCTCTCTTTTATAATTCATTATTTATATATATAAGATCTAGTAAAAATATTTTTTTTTCTAATAGATGACTTTTTTATTCTGTATCTTGCGTTGTAGAAATGCGATCTGGTTAAATCGTGCGTATACTGTCAGTAAGTGGACCGTTTGAAGGAAACAATCGTTTAGAAGGGGGAGCTTTGGTCTATAGAAGAGGAAATGTGTTCCAACAGAACAACGGCATGTGACACACATCGATAGTGATTCGTCATAAACTCGACTGGGTTCGAACACAGAACTAAGTGATTACTACCTGTTCCTATCTATGGCGAACGATTTTGTTGAAGAAAATCGACTGTGCCAAAGGTTTTAAGGAAAGTGTCACTATAAAATTACCTTCAAAATGGTTACAAGTTATCGAGGATTTAAATTGGATCATTCTAATTAAACTAAATAAAATCTTCAATTTAATGCAAAAATAATTACTGGAACCTAGACCATATTTTCAAGGAATTCTTACTACCAAAAAGAGTTGGGGTGAATTCTCCAAACCCATAGGCCTTCCCTTTTTAAGTTAAAAACTCTGATATAACCTAAATTTTAAAGTAGATAATTCCGCCTATACATACAAATTGAGATCTTTAAAAAATTATACGTCTCTTTAAGCCTTAACATTCCTTTATGTACCACGATGGAATAAATTAGAATGTTGGATTCAAGCAGATGTTCATATGAGCGAAAGGCTTAAGAATAAGTCTTCCAAAGAAATATTATACGAATGCTGCCTGTGACTATGAATGGAGCACATACAATGAATAATATTGTATTACGGATGGGTTTCTTATTTTAAGACATCTAGTAGCTCATAGTCAAATAACGCCATAATTTATCATATTAGTGTTCCACATGTCCATTTTAAAGAAACGCTTTATAAATCCATTCACACGAACTTGCAACAGATGGATTTAAAAGTGGATTAATGAAGAAGGGAATTTCTGATTTTTAAATAGGCGTAAAGGCAGTTGCGAAAGATACAACTGAGGCGAGCAATTAAAGCAGCAGTGCCACAGTAGTGACTGACAGCGCAAACCAGTCAAACCGAAATCTTTGAAGATTTCTAAATTGGCTTTGCCTTCGTGCGGATAATTAAACAAAATATGTGCAAAACTGCAAGCAAAGGAAGAGCAAGAAGAAGCAGAAGACATAAACCAACCGAAGAAGAAAAGCCGAGCGCTGCTGCAAAAAGGCTATTGCGTAGCGATTTTCATTTTGAATTGAACTTTTAATTAAAAATTCAATGGCAGTGAATAGACCGCAGATGTGTACCGCGAAATAGAGCAACAACAATCAAATCAACGAATTCGGTTTTGCACAAACAACTGCAGAGCGTAAACTCTACATACAATATAACAATGACTTAAGTCGAAACAACTAACAGCAAAAAGAGTGACTTTAAGGAGAGAGAGGCTAAGCAGGATGTCTACAAGAAATTACAATTCAGTGAAGCTTCCTTTGAAGCACCCCTATGTGGATGGCAGAAAGAGTTCTTTACCAGATTTTAGTGCTTGCAAATGATATAAATATTTTTAGCCACAAAGCAAGATGGTGACGCTGAGAGGGATGTAGGTAGCTCGTACAGTGGCTTGTAAGTGTGAAATTTCCACCTTTCATGTACTTTGGCTACTCCTGTTTGCTTGTCTGTAAATATCTGTTACACGCAGAATTAACATGCAGATTGGCAATGGCAACAGCAACAAAAACAGCAATTAAACTCCTTTCTGCGCTACGACTACATGTAGCTTCAACTTGGGCGCCTATAAACATAGATATACAGAGACAGGCCCAGAATGATGGCGCAGCATAAAAAATGAAAAGGCAAAAGCATTGCGCCAACTAATAAATGAAAGAAAGAATTAATTAAAATTCTACGGCATATTTCAAAACACAAAGTGTACGTGGCAAATGAAATACTTTTGTTGTTTTCATTTATTTGAGGCAACGATGTAATTTATAAACAGTAGAATGGACTGAAATGAGCGCCGTTCCTCATAATTTTGAGAAAGTTTGAGGAAATTGTTACTTTAGAGTTCTTACTTATTATTGCAAGTGTTGCAACTGCAAAGAAGTTCACGAAAAGGTTTTCATTATATCAAGGGAAAAATTCAGTTGAAATCGTAGTGCAGTATTTCAAATATGGTGTATTGATTACTGTAATTCAAATTAAAAAATTTGTTTTGGCGTTGTCTACGAAAAACGTGAATTCCTCAAAAACCCGCTTATATGAGAATATGAAGGATTGGACAGACCTCAATCTATACCGACGGGTTAAAAAAAGGAAGTACTATGCATAGAGAAGGCCTGTGGAGTTCTACTGAACAACTACGGAAGGATACAAAAAGCGACCATTTACACAGACAGCCAGGCTGTACAACTAGCCTTGTCATCGTCAAAGATTAATTCCAGCGTAGTAAACTAATGTGGATTAAGGCTTTAAACTCAACTGGCAGGTCAACTCCACTTTTCCATAATTTGGGTAACCGGTCACAGAATCATTTTCGGCAACGAAAAATAGACGAGTTGGCAAGTCCGGAGCCTGTCTAGACGTATCCGAGACAGAGATAATAACATACCGTGTTCGCTACGAACGATCCAAAATAAGCTCAATACACAATTTGAACACAAAGCTTTGAAAAGATGGAAATCCACCACCAAATGCAGGATAGCAAAACAGATATGGCCAAAATATGACAAGAAAAAAGCTATGGACTTATTACATTGGTCCAGGAGAAGCATATACAGACTTTCAGCTACCATAACGAATCTGGACATTTTGTCTCACATAGAATATATGTAGATTACATTTTCTCACGTACCTCGTTTTTCATTGGGTTGTAATCAGGGTTGTGAATTTTTTAATACAAAAAGTAAATTTTAATTTTCTATTACAAGATGTTTGGTATTAAAAATTGAAAATATCACTTTTTGATTTGAATGAAAAAAATGTGAATTCAAAATCAATAAATTTTTTTTGATTCTTAATTATATCTTGAGATTGCAATTTTTCTTTTTCATTTTTCAATCCGGTAGTTTTTAAACAGGTTTTGGGGATAACATTTATTTTTTAAATTTCTAATCCAATATTTTATTTATTTTTTAATACCTTATTTGGGATTACAAAATAAAATAAAAATTATAGTTCGAATATTAATTCAATTATTTTTTTAATGTATTTTTTGCAACCCTGGTTTTAATACATTTTCGTGAGATAGTATTCTTGAAGTTGTTGAAAAAAAAGTAAACAACAAAAGTATTTATTCAACGCTATTACATTTAATATTTATTTTTGTAAAAACAAAGCTGTCTCGCTAGACACAATGGTAACGACAAACGAAGCAACAAAACAATAAAAGTCTGCCAGACAGTCCATTTACTAAATGCATTGATTAACCGAAAATAATTAAACAAGTGTTCAAACAAAAATCATTTGTTCTGTGAAATCTTTTCAAGTATATAACATTGTAGGAACTATTGTGAAGATATCAGTTGAGTTCCATACTCACAGTCAATAGAAGCAAGCAGTTTGAAAACTTGGAAGAAATATGCCCAGGAATTTATTTACGCTCCGTAAGTTCAAGAATCGTTCAACTATATATCTTATAAATATGTATATCTCATTATAGTTTTCGGAGCTGCGCTATTAATCGCCCTAATAATGACGGCTCAAGCTCAGCCACCCACTAGGCGACCAACACCACCTACCAGGCGACCAACGCCCCCCACTAGGCGACCAACTGTTAGACCAACGCCCACTAGAAGACCAACACCATCTATAGCTCCAACCAGGAGACCTACACCAACTAGACCATCCTATCCAACCAGAAGGACACCACCGACCAGGAGACCTACGCCAACCAGGAGACCGACAACTACATAGGAAAACAAGTGTCGAACAAGGAAGCATTACATTTTTGGAACCGTAAAACTTTTAAAGAATATTTTTGGAAATTTGATAAAATTTAAAATTATCTATTTAAATAAAGTAAAAAATTATTCTCTCAAAATAGTAAATTTTAGTAGCTTAAATTCCAACCAATAATACTTTTGAGTTTTGTAAAGTAACACTTAAAGTGAACGAGATACATGTAGGGTTATATATTTATATCCGCCTTTATTGGTCTCAGCAAGGCTATGAGGTGGAAGTAATTCGTGAAGCGAATGGGCACTATTTGAACACAAACTGCAGCCAAAGAGATTTTTTAAGAATTTCGTTAAATTTTTATTTGGTGTTTATTGTAAAAGGTTTTACGGTTCCAAAAATGTAATACTTCATTGTTCTTGCATCATGTTGCTACAGAGCATAATATTGTAGTTTTCTTCACCTATCGGCGCTTTGTATAACCTAAAACTAATCGAGATAGATATAGAGTTATGTATATATAAATGATCAGGATGACGAGACGACTTGAAATCCGGGCGACTGTCTGTCGTCTGTCCGTGTGTCCGTCTGTCCGTACAAGTTGAGTAATAATTGAGATCTTGATGAAACTTGGTACACATATCCCTTGGCACCCGGCACGGGAGATTGGTGTTGCAAATGGGCAGAATCTTACCATTGCCACGCCCACAAAACGTCATAAAACGAACATTTTTTAAATGACACAACTAATCCGAAGCAAATTAAGATGCAAAACTATAATTTGGAGATTGCACTAGCCAAGGACACCTGTGGGCTAAATTTTTTTTAAAAAGTGGGCCTGGCTCCGCCCTCTAAATGGTTTAATTTGTATATCTGAATTTATAATAATTTGTATATCAAACCGCTGAAGATAAAGCTACCTAACTTGCTGAGAAGAAGTGATTTTATAACCCCTTAAATCTGGTGTGAAAATTTGACAAGGAGTGTGGCACCGTCCACCTTTAGGTGAAATCGTGTATCTCAGGAACTACTCGACCGATTTCAATCAAATTTGATGTGTGAGGTTACGCAAACATTCCTATAAGACACACCAAAAACGAGTCGGATGCCAACCATGGTTAATTCCCATATGACAAATTTTTAAACTCCGTCTGATTCTTTCACTTTACAGTATACCAATCAAACATCAATAAAGTTATCAGAATAAAGCTTTGCACAAATAGTGTCCTCAAGGTATTTCATTTTACGTTCAAAATTATTGAAATCGCCTTATGTGCCAAATTGGTTAAAAGCAGGCCAACACTTCCCTTAGCCCTCATATACCTAAGCTTAAGATTTTTGAACCTCCGGTTCATTTTGTACCGCATTAATCGGCCAATATATAAGAAAACTTAATGAAATTCCGATAGGAACTTATCTAGTAACAGTGTAACTTTTTCCACTTTTCTTAATAGAACGAAATCACTGCGTTACTTTTGATATAAAGTTTTGCCAAAACCTAAAGGTGTTCCTTAACCTTTGTTCCCTACAAGTTGCAAGATTATGAAATGTTTGCGTAGCAAAATCATACAAAATCGGTTCAGAAACTTCATAAAACAAAACTACTGTTTCCCGGTATTATCGGTCCTGCTTCACCGGGAAATTGCATAGTCTAAAAGGGAAATAACGTTGGATACTTCTAAACACCAATATCTCATTTCAATTACTGAGTTCAAAAACTACTCAATAAGAACTATTATAGACACACCAGTCAAACTAATCCAATTGAGTAATAAACCCATTACAATAAAGACAAAATTAAACAAAAGGGAAATGCAAATGGTCAACGGTTCTGGCGCTGATTAGCATAATCAGCATAATCGCAAAATGGCTGCAACATCTGCCGAATGCGCCGCGAGCTCCAAGCGGATGCTGCAACATGTGCGTGCCTAAAAGCCGACAACAGCAGCACGACACTTACGGTGCTCCCATGAGCCAGTTCGAGCGCCTCCAGCCGATTGTAGAGTCACATGCATACGCACCCACATACACAGATGCATAATTACATATGTGTTTGCTTGAGTGAGAGTCCCTCTGCGGCAGTTAACGCTCTTTGTTATATCGCAATTAAAGTCTAAAGCGCTGCTATTACTATATGTTTGACTGTGTATATGTGTGTATTTAGTTAACATTATTTTGACTGCATGTGTGTGTGTTATTGTGCCTGAGTGTCACATTGTTGCCATTATTTGTAGGTCCGAAGTGAATAGCTTGAAGCGAAGTGACTGCTTACATTGATTTTGTTCATTTGCAGATAATATAAATGAGTGATGACATGCGGGGCGTTCTTTCATATTATATAAACGGGTGATTGTCGACAGGGGTTTAAATATAAATAAAAACAAAAAAAGTTAACTTCTAGCTATAATACCCTCCACAATTGCATTTTTAATAGCATAAAAGGCGATAAAAATATTATTCTCTTGATTGAGATTGGTCAGTTTATATTACAGATATATGCTATAGTGGGCCGTTCTGTACTATATGTGTTTGGAGATTGTGTCGTTGTCTGAGATAATGTCTGCGTCAAATTTAGTGACGAAACTTTTTCAATTAAAAAAGTTTTTTATGCAAGTACTTGAGTTTGATCGCTCAGTTTGTATGTCAGTTGTAAGCTATAGTGTTCCGTTATCGGCGGTTCTGACAAAACAGCAGCTCCATAGAGAGAAAAGGACATGAGGAAAATTACAGATCCATATCTCAAAAATTGAAAGACGAGTTCCAGTATATACAGCCAGAAAGACGGTTATGGCTAAATCGACACAGCTCATTGATTATGTATCTCCTTTCGCATAAGCAAGATTAGGTTAATTATACTTTAAATTTAAAGGAGGAAGCACAAAAACTCTAGATTTATTAAACTCACAAAGTGTTAAACCATAAAAATGCTGATAACTATTATTTATCTTGGAAATCCAGTTATTACGGCGTTGATGAAAAATAAAACAAAAGCACTAAAAGCTGGAATATTTAAGAACCATCGGCATGACGTTTAGCTGAAAAAGCAGCAACAAAAAAAAACAGTAGCTTAATGTTTTATCAATTAAGAAGTGTAAGGGCAAAGTTTTATTATGTGTGGGTGTTCGAAAAGTTGTAGTCCGGTTTCCACCATTTTTGGGCGTTAGAGTCTTACAATATTGATCCACGAATTACCCCTGCTCCTATATACTAGATAAAATGTTTGGTTAAACCCGCACTTGGATTTTCCTTACTTGTTTAATATAAAGTTTTACTAACACCCGAAAGTATTGCCTCGCCTTCGATCCTTCTAGTATAAGCTGTTCAGTTATATCCGAACTTAGTCCTTACTTCCTTGTTTATTATTATTATTATTATTATTATAACGATTGTTATTTGTAGTTGTTGCTTGATTCTTCTTTTTGGCTATCAACATACTCGTACACCTTTCCATTATAAATATTATTGTCTTTTAATCACTTCCTCCCTATACTTCCAAAATTATGGGCAATAAAACTTGTTTGCCCTACAAATTGACATTTTTGTGCTCAAAATTCTGTCTAATATTTTCCACGTCATTAAATTGGGAATTTTTGAAAAGTCAATGACGCTGAAAACCCGAAACAGTCGTTAGTCTCATAATGTCACTAAGTAATGTTTACATGGCGTCACCTCAGTAACTGCCGCCCAAAACGCCATCTTGTTTATTGTGCTAGCACTGTGCGCTGATTCTACAACGCAGCGTTGCATTGCGCGTTTTGCTGGTTGTTATGTGCGACGCTCCATTAGATTATTTTAAAATACTAGTATTTATTGCATAGCCTATACGTGACCAATAAAAAATAAGCTTAATGCGGCTAGTAATGCGAGTTCCGCGCACGACAGCCACAGGAGTTGCAAGCAGTCAATGCTGCATTGTCTCGCTGTCTGTCTGAAAGCAGTTTACCAATGCACAAATACAAATTTTTTTATGTATATGCAAGTGTTCATGTGTTTGTGGGTGTATTGTACAAGTGCTTGTTGCTGTTTTGGTTGTTGCCACGAGCTTCGCCGCGGACATGACAATATGGTTTGCGGTGCGGCAAGTACATACGAACAATGTGCTACATATATTGCCGTCCCAATGGCCCCAATGCACTCCACAACAACGCACGATGCCACTTTTACATGTTAAGACACACACACGCACACACGTGTGTGAGCTCTGTTTTGTTTGTGTTTCGTTGTGGTTTTGGGGTATAACGCACGTCTGCACTTACTTCGATGCTCTATCAGCCTTTTAAAATTCACCACAGCCAACATTTTATTTTAATTTTTATTGTTGTACTACTTTTGTGTGTCTGAGATATCATGTGAATGTGTAGCAATGGTTTTAAGTTATCTTGGTTGTCAATATTTCTACAGTGTACACTTAGTAACTGGCTTTGGTCTAGTTGAAAATGGATGAAAAGTGGGTACAGCTGTTAGGGGATAGAGAATAGCGAGGGAATTCCTTATTATTTCTTGGTGCGTTTTGAGTTATTCGTGATGAGCTACCCACTTAAGCAAATTATTACCGAAATATCCTTTCTTTAGGGAGCCTATCTATAAAAATAATAAGTGTTTTAGCACGGAAAAGAATTGGGATAAAATTTCCTGGAAAATGCTTAATACCTCTCTGTAGTCAGAGGTAGCTGATAACCTTGCTTGTAAAATCAGCTCCGAGAACTTTGGACCGAGAGCAATATGTTAAAAAAATTCCGTTATACCCGAGATCACTCTATGAACAGGAGTTGTAAGTAGAAACTCATTATACACCCTCCCTATATCACACATATTGGAGTGTCTTCATTTAACTTGAATAATCTCTTCCAGGTTACATAGATGTAACTAAATATAAATAAATAAGTTAGCGATGAGCAACACAAGTACTGAGATTTTGCGTTCGATTCAAGTCCAACTTAAAACGTGTTTGTTGTATAATAGAGTTTGGATCCCTAGATGAGCGAAAAAAACATAAGGAGCACAGCAAAATAAAACAACCTTAAGTTGATTGAAGTTAAACTGTGTTCCTTTAGTGGCAACGAAGTCAATTCAAATTAACTTTGATGTAAGTTTCTGGTCTCTGGAAATCCGGTTAAGTCGATAAGCTCATAAAGGCATTAATGT